CTCTTTAGGGGATTATGTCAGTATCATTAAAAAAAACAACTTTGGGCATAAAGCACTTATTTGTAAAGTGTTGCCTTATGTAGTCTGTTTTTGATGAGACCCTGGATATATCTTAGCTTTGAAACTTTATTTTTGAGCTGGGCATGGTGATGCACACCTATAATCCCAGCTCATGGGAGGCTGAGTCAGGAGGATTGCTCAAATTCAAGGTGAACCTGGGTGGTATAGTGAGTTCAAGGCCAATGTAAACTACACAGAGAGATCCTGACTCAAAAAGACAAACAAAGAAACAAACAACCCACTTTATTTTTTGGTGTTTCCTCCCTTACTTTTGCTTTTCCTTTGGACTTGCCTGTTACATCTCTTTCTTCACATCTGTTTAGAGAATTTGGGTTTGTAGTTCAGGCTGGCCTTGAATTCACTACGTAGTCCAGACTGGCCTCCAATTTACAGCTATTCTCCTGCCCCAGCCTCCCAAGTACCGGAATACTTGTGTGTACCACCACACCCAGCATTGCCCATTCTTCCTTGCAGCAAATGTTTCAGTTTTCTTGCAGGAAAAGCTTGGGGCCAATGAGATCCTTTATGGACTGTCCCTTGCCTAGTGTCCAGCCACCGTGACTCATTGTTGGGGTTTCTTAGATGTCCAGGCAAGTGTGATTTCCCCAGAGAAGTCTTTCTTGATCCTCAGACATGGTCAGGCTCCTATGATAACCTCTATTTTTTTTTTTTTTGAACCAGGGTCTTTCTCTATAGGCCAGGTTGTTCTCCAACTCATGGCTACTATCCTGCCTCAGCCTCCTGAGTGCAGGGGCTAGAGGTGTGTGAAATCATGGCCTGGGTGCCACCCTAATCTCTTGTACACCAGATGCTTCTCCTTGTTAGTGCTGTCTATGGCAGTGCAACATTTCTCTGAGCACAGTGCCGAACACAGTGCCTGGCTCACAACAAGGGCTCAGTAAATATGTGTACCTGAGTGAGCAAAAGAGCAAGCAAATGGTGGCCCTAAGTGTAACTCAAAAGAACTTAGTCAAGACCTGGGAAAGGCTGCCTGGCTCTGGGGGCCATAGATCCAGTGCCCTTCCCCTTAATAGGGTTTGATTGGATACACAGAGACCCCAAGTGAATAAGTTTTCATTTTTTAAATTTTTTATGTTTTTGAGGTAGGCTTGCTAAGCAGTTCAGGCTAGCCTTGAGCTCACTTTGTAGCCCAGGTTGGCTGTTAACACACAAGGATCCTCCTGCATTAGCCTCCTGAGTACTGGAATTACAGGCATGCACCACCACGCCCAGCTTTTTTTAGTAGCAGGAAGGGAACCCAGGACCTTCTGCTTGCCACATAGGTACTATGTCACTGAGCTACATCCCCAGCCCAAGTTTTCATTTTAGTTGCCTATTATATATCATGAAGATAAAATATTGTTTACTTTGCTGGATTTTGGCCCAGTTACCCCTTCTTTCGTATTTCTCCCTTTTGGAATATATGTGTCTCTAGTATGCCTGTCTCACCATTGTATTAAGTTCACAACGGGAGGAGAATTTGCCTCAGGAGAAATCATGCCTTGGTTCCATTTATGAGACCCCTGACTTTTGAGTTATTCCTGGGATGGGAAAAGACTTTTTTTAATGAGCAAGTACACATTTGTGTTGAGCAAATATTTTGTAGTGAACTTGCTAACTGTGCCTATGTTTAGCTTTGAGAAATGCAGCTGATGTTACATGTCTGTGGATTCTATATCTCAACACAGACTCAGCTTTGGGTTGGAAAAAGTTGCACTTGTATTGAACATGTACAGACTATTTTCTTGCCATTAATCCCTAAACAATACAGTGCAACAACTTTTTATATAGCATTCCAGTTGTATTAAATAAAAACAATCTGGAGATGATTTAACATATATGGGAGGATGAACATAGCTCATGTGCAAATACTATCAAGGATATTGGTGTTCAAAGGACCTCTAGATCCACTTCCCATAAATACTGAGGAGTGACTGTCCCTTCCAGTTTTCCAAGGGGCTGTACTGATAGGGTTTTTCAAATTTCATGATCAGAGCTACCAGGCCATTATTCTCCCTTCCCCTGAACCACGGGGGTGAGTCACAGTTGTTCTCTGGAGAACACTGGGGCTCAGAATGCAGGTTAAAGTTAGGGCACAAGGATTCTTTGGGTTGACATACCAGGGAGATCAGCCCTGCCTCTAGGGTATGGGTAAAGGTGAAATAAGGAATATTGAAACATCTGTACCGCTTAGGGCCCCAAACACTGGGAGCAGACCTGGGGTGGGTCATGGTTTAACCCTTTAGTTTCCGGGTCCTAAGAAGGGAGCAAGGCAAGTGAGAAGGACTGATGATCCTGTGAATGGCACCTAATTACCAATGTGCATTTAACCACTTTAATGGTTTAACTACTGGTGCATATACTGACTAATAGCAACCTCTGTGGGTATGCTTGGCAGTTCCGAGAGAAATATGGAGATGTGTTCACCGTGTACCTGGGGCCAAGGCCTGTAGTCATGCTGTGTGGGCCAGAGGCCATACGGGAGGCCCTGGTGGACCAAGCTGAGGCTTTCTCTGGCCGGGGAACAACTGCTACCATGGAGCCTGTCTTCCAGGGATATGGTGAGGACCTCAAAGGCACTGGGATGGGGTGGGAAGGAGGCTGGGGTTTGGGGAACTTGAGTGTGAGAAGTGAGGAAAAGAGTGGGGAGGGTTCTCACCTCCTTGATCTTCCCCTCTAACCCATGCCTCTCCTACACCACTAGGGGTGGTGTTTGCTAATGGGGAACGCTGGAAGGCCCTTCGGAGATTCTCGTTGACCACCATGAGGGACTTTGGGATGGGAAAGCGGAGCGTGGAGGAGCGGATTCAGGAGGAGGCTCAGTGCATGTTGGAGGAGCTGCGAAAATCCCAGGGTGAGTCTTGAGGGTTGGGTTGGGTAGGAAAGGAAGACAAGGATACAGAGAGGGGCAGGGTGCACAGCAATAGAAGTACAGGGAGCTGCACAGGGGCAGAGATGCATAGAAATAGAGACAGACAGAGGCATTGGGACAGAAAGAGATGGGATAGAAATGAACAGAGATAAGCAGCAGAGCAGCACAGCCAGGAAAGCAGCAGTGAGGTTTAGAGTGTCCAAGAATAACTTGGAGAAATAGGCTGAGTGACTCCAGGCTAGTAATTTGTGTCCAGAGAAAATAATTCATGGGTTAGCTGTATGTGTCAAAACCTCTTACAAAGGCTTGCTTGTGTAAAAGAAAGAAAAGGGCAAAAGAGGAACAGCAGATGTGAAAATAGTGAACTGTATTTTCCTTCCCTTGAAGAAGTGCTGTTGAGCAGGCAGTGAGTAAAGAGGCAGGTGGGTGCTCTGCTCCTGCGAAGCATGTTCAGGTCTTTTTGGATCCTCACTAACAGGGAGGTGGAGGTGACAGGACTCTGTGTTAGCACCTCTGCAGTTACCATTCTTTCATTCCTGCCAGGTCTTGTGTGGAGATTCTGAAGCTGGGGAGAAGCAACAGGGACAGAGAGACAGAGAGGGAAAACAGATGGAGGCAGAGACAGGAAAGAGGCTGAGACAGGCATGGAGGGAGCAAAAGGAAGAGAAAGAGACAAGGGTGGCAGAGACTCAGAGAGGAAGCAAAAACAAAGGCAGAAAGTGAGACATAAATTAGAAATGCATGGCCAAGTGTCAGGGAATAGACTATAAATGAGTGAGAGTAGATATGTGAGGCACACAGAGAGAGAGACAGAGAGAGACAGAGAGAGACAGGGAGAGACAGAGAGAGAGAGAGAGAGTGTGTGAGAGAGACAGAGACAGAGAGAGACGGAGGACCATACCTACCTGAGGTCCTTGGGCTCAGAGCCTCCCTCCTTCTCACCCAAGCCCTGGAGGAGGGAAGAGATGCAAGGGGAGTGACTGGGCTTTGAACTTGGACAAAGAAGTTAGGAAGTCATCGGGGTTTTCAAACTTGCACAAGCAATGGATTGCACATGCTGCGCTTCTTCCCCAGGCCTTAACTTTATCAGCTTACACAGATGGAGCAGAGGCCTGGGGTGAGATGCAGGGAAGGGGCCAATTGCACTGGCTCTGTCTCTGTGCTGCCTGGTCTGAATCTGGACCCAGGAATGGGTAGCTGTGTTACCTTAGTCAAATCATTTAACCATGAATCATTCATCCATCTATAAAATGGGTAGAATAAAAGAATCATACCTCCTTACACTGCTGTGGAGGAATTAAGTTAAAATAACACAAGTGCTTAGTGTGCAGCCTGGCACATAGCACATGCTGAGGAGTATCAGAGTTCACTGCTATTCTTATCTTTGATTGTGGAGTGACAGCAGGCACAGAGACAGGACAGCAGCCAAATGCTCACCAGGCTCTTGAATCTGTGTCTGATGAAGTGCTGCCGTTTTCCCCAGGAGGCCTTGTGGACCCCATATTCCTCTTTCATTCGGTGACGGCCAACATCATCTGCTCCATTGTCTTTGGAAAACGCTTTGACTACAAAGATCACCAGTTCCTGAGGCTGCTGGACCTGTTCTATAAGACCTTTTCACTGGGCAGTTCCTTTTCCAGCCAGGTGGGGAATGATGGAGGATGGGGGTGAGGGGAGCAGCTAGGGTAGGGGGAACGATGCCCGGCTTTGGGGGGCCCAAAAACACACTTAGGGCTGCGAGAAGGGTGCAGAGAGAACAGAGGTTGGGGACTGTGAGACCTGAAGGCAGAGATAGACAGTGAGCAGGGACCAAGACGCTGAGACAAACAAACCGGAGTGAAGGGGGTGGAGAAATAAAGTGGAAGAGACAAAGAAAATGAAGGCTTGGGAGAGAGAGAAGGGAGGAAAAGAAGACAGAGAAAAGAAAATGAAGGATAAAGGTAGATTCTGAGACACAAAAGTTGTGTGGGGGGGGGGTGTGGGGGGGTGTTCCTGAAGAGAAGGAGAGAGGTAGACTCAGAGGAGAGAGAGATGGAGGGATGGGGCTTCCCCATTGAGGTTTGGGGCTCAGAACAGCTTCTTCCCTCTGCAATCTGCTAACTGAGCCTAAGTGGACCTCGCTGCCCTTTCTTCCTTGCAGGTGCTTGAGCTCTTCCCCAGCATCCTGAAACACTTTCCTGGCCCACACAGGGAAATCTACAAAAACATGCAGGAAATCAACACTTTCATTGGCCACAGTGTGGAGGAACACCGTGACACCCTGGACCCCAGCAGCCCCAGAGACTTCATCGATACCTTCCTGCTCCGCATGGACAAAGTGAGATCGGGGAGAGGGGAACGGATAGGAGGGGAGGATGGGGATGTGAAGTGAAGGGAAGGAAAGGAAAGAGGTAGAGGAGGACAGAGGGGAGGGGAAATCAGATGATGGGGTGGACAGAATGCGAGAAGGAAATTCAGGAGAAGAAGAAGCGAAAAGCAGATGAGGTGAAAGGCAGCAAAAGATAGGAAGGAGAAACTGAAATGGGAGGGAAAGAGAAAAGAGCAAGTATTAGCTGAGGAAAAAGTCAGGGCAAAGGGCAAAGAAAAAAGCAATAAAACACCCTAGAGGAGGAAAAAGAATGGGAACCCCAAAAGTGAGAAACAAGCCAAAGAGATGGAGAGGGATTGAAACAGAGCCAGGTAGAATAAAGAAAATCAGAGGGAGAGAAACAGACAGACACAGACCGACAGACAGACTTCTAGCTGGATGTCAAAGATAGAGAATGCAAAGCAGGCCAGACTGCCTGAGTCCCAGAAACAGAGGGAGCGTGTCCAGAGGGACAGATGACCCTTCCTGCAGCAAGGCTTCGGTCCTCCCTGAACCTCTCCTGTCCCCTTGCTCTGGACATAGGACAAGGCTGACCAGCACACTGAGTTCCACCACAAGAACCTCATCCTGACCTCGCTTTCGCTCTTCTTTGCTGGCACGGAGACCACCAGCACAACTCTCCGCTATGGCTTCCTGTTTTTACTCAAATACCCGCATATCACAGGTGGGCAATGGACAGCCAATTGGGAAAGCGTTGTGATGCCCTTTGGGCTGCAGAGTTGTGGTTAGGGGACCTCTTGGTGTCAGAAAACTTTGGGCACTTGTGCCAGGAGCTCTACAGGCTTTGAACAGTCTCCCAACTAAGCCTGTCCTGAGGATATAGATGTAAATGAAAAATCTATTGACCTCTTTTTCTGCTGTTTTTGCCTATCACACTGAGAAATTGAACAATCCATGCATTCTTGCATCTGTTTATTAATTCGCCTTTATTTTTACTGATTCTTTTATCTATACTCATCGAACAACATATACCTTTATCCATTTATTTGGATTAATTGACTCGAGCTGATCCTTTGAACACTGATACTTCTCAATTATTCATTGGCTCTTTAAATTACTCATGCATCTACCCATTCATCTATGTTTGAACAAGGTTTCATTCCTTATCAGCAGTCTTTCAATGCTTCATTCATGCTTCATTCATCCATCATTCTTTCATTTATTCAGTTCATAACTCATTTTTTCACTCCGGGTTACTCTTCATTCAAGTCTTTCCTCCACTTATTTCTTCATTTACTCATACCTTCACTACTTTATTCATTATACAGTCCTCTATATATCTAGCATTCATATGATTATCTATGAGTTTACTGTCTTATTTTTTGATGAACCATTTATCAATAGATTAATTCAACCATATACTAGTGATAAATCAAATACATATACCTATTCACTGATTTTTTCATCTCATTCATTCATCAGCCATTTTATTTATTGATTTAGCCATTCATTCATTCATTCATTTATCATTCAGTTATTCATGAATTAATTTCTTCTGCTATTATATGTTTTAGGAACTACTGACAAACTTGGTTTATTTCTTATTGATTGTAGAGGAGCAGTTTTCAGTTCTTTGTATAAAATTCATGCAACGCTGTGGTGTGTGTGTATAGTTGTGGATGTGGGGAGATAATTTATAGCATTCACAGATTTTTAAAGGGTGCGAATTCTTGTTATTTTCTCCCTCTTGCTCTCTCCCACAGCTGATTGCTTTGAAGGTGTGAATGGGATAAACGTTTTCTGTACAGTATTTCCAGCTCACCGGTCCAAACAAAAAAATGTCATTGCTGAAATGTCTTTGTGATGTGGGGTTCATTGTCCCCTTTTCTGTGCAGAGAGAGTCCAAAAGGAAATTGAACAGGTGATTGGCTCACACCGCCCGCCAGCCTTGGATGACCGAACCAAAATGCCATACACTGAGGCTGTCATCTGTGAGATGCAGAGATTTGCGGACCTCCTCCCCATTGGTGTGCCCCACGTGGTCACCAAAGACACGTCCTTCCGAGGGTTCGTCCTCCCCAAGGTGAGACAAGCTGGTGTCCCACATCTTTGTTGCACCTCTTTGGATTCTTAACCCACATCTCAACTGCTTGTTGACTTCTCAACAGGGAAACCTTCCTTCAGTTTTGTTTTGTTGTATCTATTTACTTATGTCTTTGCATGTGGAGGCCAGGGAATAGCAATATCTTCCAATTTTGCAATTTTCCTAGGGCACGGAAGTATACCCAATCCTGTCCACTGCTCTCCATGACCCACGTCATTTTGAAAAACCAGACACCTTCAACCCTGATCACTTTCTGGATGCTAAGGGGGCACTGAGGAAGAGTGAAGCTTTTATTCCCTTCTCCATGGGTAAGTTGGTCCAGTACCCGTCTCCCAGATACAGGAGGGTGGTTCCCATTCTCTCCTTCAGACAAAGGGTGGTCTGCACTTGTTTACTGAGCATTTTAGTTATGTTCCACTTGCTTTAACCCAAATATCCTAGTTCACCTTCACTACAGCCATTGAGGAAACTTGAGCAGAGATATTATCTCCTAAAGGCACATCTTGGCACTCCATAAGATGATGGCACACTGCATATACTGCAAACATGTAGTAACAACAGCAAGATCAACAACAACAATGAAAATAGTAGCAAGCAAACCTCATGTATTAGCCCTAGTCTGAAGCCAGTACTCCATTGGATGCTAATGATAATGCAATTAAGCAAATCACATAGTGTCTGACCCAGGTAATGTAAAGTATGGCAAGGGAGATGGACAGTCATCAAACAGTTGCCAAAAGATGATGCAATTAACAAGTTAATGCTGATCTTATACTTAGGATTGCGTGGGACAAAGTATATTCTTGTTGGGGGCAATTACTATTCTTGGTCATGATAGGTGCTCTAAAGGTGGCTTTGGGGCAACAAAATAGGAAATATTGACTAATTTTTTGGTTTGATGAAAAAGCACTTATCTCAGAAACAGGCTTCTAGGTTGAAGCCTCATGTGTGAGAAGTGATCAGCCACTGGGAAGAGCATCTCAGGGAGAGGGAACCGCAAAGACAAAGAGACTGAATGTGGAATCATCATGATGCATTTGATAAACAAAAAAGCTCTGGTGTGTAGCTTAGGAAAGGGGACCGGGTGAACAGCTTGGTTTGGGAGGGTCTAGAGGGCTAAGAGAGGAACTTGGGTTATCCCTAGAGCATTGAGGAGTTCGGGAAGGTCTTCACACATTCATCTGTCCATGTTCCCGAGCTGTACTCTGGCTTGTTTTGTTTCTTTTTCTGAACTGAGGAAACACACTTCATATTTATTTGCTACCACCATCTGGGCCACCACCTTTCCAAAATTATTTAAATGGAAATCTATCCAGGTAAATTAAAATTCAGGACTAGGCTCTAAAGCAACACTCAAAGCACAACAGAGTTGAAAACTAGTTTATTTCTCAGTCTCTATCTTACTCTCTTTTTTTGTTTTTTTTTTGAGACAGTGCCTCACTATGTAGTTCAGGGTGACCTTGAATTCACTATGTAGTCAAGCTGATCTCAAATCTGTGACAATCCTCCTGCCTCAGCCTCCCAAGTGTTGGGATTGCACCACCACGACCGGTCTCTCAGGCTGTTCTTGCATGAACCTCACTTTCCTCCAGCTATGTCGGCCAATATTGTCAGATGAAGAAATTTTTATTTTAGCATCTGTCCATATCTCACTGATAAAGCATGAGGATATCTGTACTGCTATAAATATATATTTTAGGATATATGCAGTGAAAAAAAAGCTCTTAATTTTCCATTTCTTGTAACTTAGGTTCTTGTATATTTTAAAAATATTTATTCAGTGGGCATGGTGGCACGTGCCTGTAATCCCAGCACTCAGGAAGTACGAGCATCACTGTGTGTTCCAGGACAACCTGAGATATAAAGTGAGTTCAACCTAGCCTAAACTACAACATGAGACCCTGTCTCAAAAACAAATATTTAATTCAGTTTCAAAAGTTCTGTTATTGGAAGAGTATAAATTAAATATATTATCTGATTAAAATATAACAAAAAGTGATATGACTTTGCTGCAGAGGAGTTATACTGTGATATCCCTCATGCTCGCCAAACTTACCAGTTTGACAGTGGTCAGCTGTAGACTTAATATCTGAACCATGTAAAATCAAACAAGCTGGACAATCGCTTTAGTTCCCTTTCCTCCAACATTGAATACAATATTTTTTAGATCTGGAACTTCATAATAAGGTTACATGTGTTCTTAAAATCTTATCTGGTTTTGCATTGTGTGGACTTGTCTCAGCAGTTTGCAGCCTATGTTTGCCAGCAACATGACTGCTAAGATTGGCTGACGCTTGGTTACCTTTTCCAAGTGTACATTCTCAAGACAGCTGTAGTTTATTTATATATTGAGTTAGGTTCCAATTTTCTATATAGATTGGCAGCTTCACATTGACTTTTACAGGCCTCCCCCAGGGAAAACCCCAATGTCCAGTTTTCTTATCATTTGAGAGGAAGGAATTCCTCAGTAACAAGTCTTTAGTCTTGAGTTCTATCAGTGACTTCAGTGACACGGTGCAATGGCAAACTCCCTCACTTTGTTTTCAGTGAGAGTTGGGATCAGTGGGTGGTTACAAGAGATTCAGATCCTGCACTAATGAGTTCTACCCTCAGTATATAGAAAACAGAGATGTAAAGAAGTAAGGACAGTGGCAGACAGATAAGCAATAGCAAAATATGAGAATGATACAGGGAGAGAGGGTGGCAAAGAGACAGAAAAGAAGAGAAAACATGGTGGGGGAGTTGGTCCAGGGCCAGAGAGAGAGAAAGAGAGATTCAGATTGAATGAGAATGAATCAGATCCAAATATAGCCAAGGAGTTAAGATGTCAGAATATAGGAATGAGAAGAGGGAAATAAAAGATAGACATAGAAACAGGGCCTGACATATGTACACAAAAACAAACGCAGGCTACCCTGGGAAGAAAGAAAGATAAACTGGGCCGAAGGAGCATAATGAAAAAGCTATCAAAAATTGTTCAAATGGATAGCCCCAGATGGCAGGGTGTGTAGAGAAGGCATCAGGCTATTTTGGTGGAATCTGGGTCACAGTACCAGTTCCAGGGGGAAGAACCACTTTAGGGCCTCCCTGAGTACTTCTAAGCCCATGTCTCCTACTTTCTGGATGTATCCGAGGGAAGTGGGTACTGCCCCAGATGCTTCTATGCAAGTATAAGGCCCCAATGATTTGAAAGGCACTGGGGATGCCCTGAAACCCATCCTTGACAGGCCTTTCTCAAGGTCATCAGTTTGGAGATGAAGAAGCACTGAAGTATGGGGGCAGTCTCTCTGAGCATCTGCCTGAATTTGAGACTCCCTTTGCCCTCATTCCTCCTCAAGCCCAAGATTCCTAAGTTGTAGTGTGATTCCTCACATGTCTGAGAAACCATTGAGGCCATAAATCACACCTCATGTGTATTGGTCTCATTTGTAATTTTATGTACAGTATGAGTGTATTGTATGTACATGCTTGAAGCTCTTGGAAGAGACCAGAAAACAACCAAGGTGGGGAGAAAGGGGAGGGAAGGAAACAAGAAAAGAGAGGAGATAGACACAGAGAGAGACAGAGACAGAGATAAAAAGACAGACAGACAGACAGACAAACAAAGGCACACAATCCCAGAAACACCTTCCCACTCAGAAAAAAACCACAAAACAGTTACTATAGTATAGAATTTTAATGTGAACTTAGTATTACTTTGAGTTCCTATCAATACTAACTTAAACCTCACAAGAGCCCTATGAGATGGGTAATAGTCTCCTCCTATGAGAAATGAAGGACACCAAAAATGTTACCTCATACATGTGCACATACTTTTACACTTACAAATGCCCACAAATGGGTCCTTATCTCATATAGGGCCACTGAACCCTTTAGAAATCAAATAAAACTACAAACTTCTGTATCTCCTAACTCCTATTGAACACTGAACATCCACACAAAGATCTGTGCCCAGTATCAGAAGCACTGGGAACCTCCTTTAAGTCCACTCCTAATTACTGGTTAGAGGTTATCCCTGTGCCATGGTCACAGGTGTCTAAGATTAGAGCTATGACAGGGCAAAGAATATCACCTTGGCCTACCCTGTGATCCTCTGTGCCCACAGGGAAGCGTATCTGTCTTGGAGAAGGAATTGCCCGTGCTGAGTTGTTCCTCTTCTTCACCACCATCCTCCAGAACTTCTCCATAGCCAGCCCAGTGCCTCCTGAGGACATTGACTTCACACCCCAGGAGGTTGCTTTTGGCAGAATACCCCCAGTATACCAGATGTCCTTCCTGCCCCGCAAGATGGACTGAGGGGAGAATAAACGATTGCAGGGTCATTGAATGCCTAACTGTAGAGAATGACAGCTCACTTCCTGCATCCAAGAAATCTGTTGTGAACCAGCATCTTTCCCACACCTGGCTGCTACCCCATGCAAAAGTTATTTTTGTAGGCTTCCTTCCATACTGCTGCACTTCTTCTAAAGCTCTGTGTTGATTTCTTTCTTGTGTGAATTGAGGTGCAGAAGTTAGGAAGTGGATCAACAATAATCAAGCACCTTCTTTGGCGAATATAAACCCGTTAGGGGTGAAAAGTGATAAATTGCCTCAAGGACCTTCTGGAGTTCTGCTTCCTAGGATACAGCTCACTCGGAGTGACTTTTTCCTTGCTCAGAACGATCACACACTGTGTTTGTCACCTCCTTGTGTTCCATGTTCTGTGCTAAAGGGTTCTATGTAAAAATATCCTCTCCATTGCCCCAGGTGATGGGTGCCAAGGTCATGCCCATTTTACAGATGAATAAGAGAGGTCAGACAGTGGCAACAGCTGCTTGAGGTCACAATGCCAGTGAGTGGAGGAGCAGATTGATCCTCCAGTGTAAAGCTCAAACTC